GGGGGGGGGGGGGGGGCAGCAGAAACCTAGGTGGGGCCATGTTTCACTTCTTTTTATAGAATAAATTTTCGCAGGCTGGCCTATCGGCGCCCAACCTGGCTATGCCTCTGAAAACGTTTTCAGCGAAACTGTTATCGACTCTTTTTCCAAAAGTTGACCATCATCATCATCTCTTTTCCATCGCCTTCGATCTTCAAACCATCAGGGTAAATGTGTTATCTAACAACATGAAATCGCAAATCGGAACAAAAGCCAACAGATGATTAACACGACGTGTGTAAATATGTTTCTCCGAACTTGAATCGGAGAAGTTTTATATGACATATCGATCGTTGCTAACATTTTTGAAGAGCAGTGATGTTTTCATAAACAGTAAAGTACTCGGTCTGGGTAAGGTAATCATTTGTTGTAATAACTTGAACAAGGTGGGTCCAGTGTAGATGAAGGTTGTAAGAATCACACGGTGCAAGTAAAAATTCTTTCAACTAGTTCAGGTTGAAAGATCTTGTTAATCATCTGTTGGCCTTTGTTCCGACTTGAGACTTCATGTTGTTAGATAACATATTTACCCTGATTGTTTGATGATCGAAGGCGATGGAAAACAGATGATGATGAAGGTAATGATGATGATAGTGATGATCATGGTGGGCAACTTTTGGAGTCCACTCAGAGTACCGATGACTGTTTCGCTGAAGACATTTTGGAGAGTAGAGATGTTTGGATAAAGAGAAAATTACTAAGTCTGAGTCAGGAAATCTGTTGGTCTTGTTCCGATTTTCGACTTAATCCTGTTGGATAACATATTAAAATTTAATTGACTGAAAATGGACAGTGTGTTTTGGAAAGGCTGTTGATGCTAATTGTGTCTTTTGATATGCGTGCGTCGTATGCGCAAGTTATTATAATTAGATTGCAAACATCACGAAATGCTGCTGTATCAATGCCTCCTATAACACACTAGGCTGTTTCCTTCTTCTTTGTGTTTTTTTTATAAACTGAGAATGATGATTGCACAAATTGGATTGGCGAAAAGCCGTTTGAGGATGAAATTGGCTGATACAAAAACAGAGTCGTAATGAAGTTCCAGTCAATGTAACCAATTGGTAGGTTGGCCCTTCAGGTTTGGGCCAACCAAGTTTGACTCAATAAAATTGACGGAGAAAGATTTAGAAAATAAAAAAGATTGTTAGTTATCGCAATTTCTCTGTTTAACTACACCCCCTCCCCACCACGACCATCTCCTCGAAGCCATTAATGTATGAAATCGTGAAACATGAAAGTATTGTATTTGAAAGATAATTATGATATTTGACTGAAAATCAGAGTACCCGATGTTTCATATTTAAAGAGAATCTGCAAACCAATGCAAGCAAATTCTTTGTATATATTTGAAACACCCCCTCTCTTCCCAATAAAAAAGATAAATTACGGTATGCGTGTCCTAGAATGTTCACAGGGCCGTACGCAGGATTTTTTACCAAGGCGCAGTAAGGTCCATATGCCGAAAAAAATCACAAATATTCGAAGAATAATAAATGACATTCTAAAAATCGTAAATATAGTTTTCTCAAGGGGGCAATTGCCCCCCCCCCCCTGTCTCCCGCTGTGTACGGTCCTGAATCAATCATATTTTTTTAAAACATAAGTTATTATTGTAAAGTTGGCTTGGAAGTGTTCCTGGCCTGAAAATGATTGACGAACTACATTAAAGTGAACAGAACGTAAAAATATCATATATTTTGAAAACACTTCGATGTCACCTTGTTTTATTTCAGCTCTGTTTTCGGACATTTCATAATTTTTTTCTTGTCCAGGTTTGTCCAGGCCTGGATTGAGATCAGTTTTTCTAATCTGCGCGTGCACATTAAGTGTTTTGTGGTCAAGCGCATGCGTATTTGCAAGACAACAATGGCGGTTCACGGATTTCAAAATTCGAAGAAGCCTGAATTTGGAGAGGTTGTACTTCAATTTGTGCAACTATTTCGCTTGGGGCGAAGTGGTTTGTAAATAAGAAAGTTCTAATCTATCCATTTATGTAAAAATTTTGTAGTTACACGAGGGGTGCTACGGAATTGAACATTTTCGACCCTCATCCAACGGCCTAAAGCCAATATAGCGGAGAAAGACGCCGAAATAATTTAGACTATTGAATAAAGTTATTAAGAATATAGATTTCTCAAATGGCAAAAAGGCTCGTCATCACTATGAAGAATGTTATATATGACCCATATGGGTGGATGTCATTTGTATCTTTGATATTATTGAATTCGTGTCCTCACGCTGCATATCGAAACCATCAGTTCGGGTTATCCCCATCTGCTTTTGGCTCAATAACTTAAAATAAAAATGTTTGAAAATGTTTCATATCATGCTCCGAACTTCATTCAACAATAATATTAAATATACTAAGTAAATACCCTCACTGATTTCGGTTTGAGTTGGCTTTTATTAATATTATGGAGGTAGAATGAGCCGATTTACTGTATATTTGAGTTAAACATAGACCAAATCGACCGGATTCAATACATATTTCTTCCTTCTGTTTCTTACCATTGAAGCAAGCGGTCAACACTTTTAAAAGTTTGAACTAACCACTATAAATCAGCTACTATTGTACATGCATGATACGTAATTAAAACCCGTATAGCTAAAGCAGTTAAAATAAATAAAATTACCTGTGCGGTATATACAGCATTATTCTTAGGGTTCTCCTTATTCGCATAGGAAGTTACCTTCACAAAGTCTCTGTTGGGCGAGTTGGATAAGAAAAAGTAGGAAATTTTAAACACCTGTTCATTCGTTTCGAGATCGTCTTTCTCGATCAACACACCACGATCAAAGAAACCATCGGCTAGACTGTGCATACCACCCACTAAAGTATGCATGTGGTGCGACCACCAGTTTCCAAGGCCTTCGCGAAGATACTGAACCAAAGATTGATCAAGTTGTTGAGTATAAGTAAATACGGAGTAACCACGTAATGCGTCGTCGGACCACGGCAAAAGTTTAGCCAGGGTCTTCATATCTAAATCTTGTCGACTTTCCTCCGGGACTTTTGCTTTAATTACATCGATATTGCTTTCGAGAAAGCTTTCCAAAGTAAACTTACACCAGATGTTAATCCATTTATACCACACATCGATTTCTTCGCGAACGTTATCATGTGTGTTGTTTAACCACTTTTTTAATTGGTCAGTAACAATTCCGGTTGTTCGGTCGTAATATGTACCTAAAAATAGCTTAAATAAGTTGCTATGAAAATAAAATCAGCACGGACGGTGAAATTTTCAAGATTGGCTCACAGAGAGTTTATTAAAGGCACAGTCCAGCTTTTTTAATGGTGGTTTTTAAGGCCCATTTCAGCCGTTTTAATTGAAACAAGACGCTCTGTAGAGCGTTTAACTCGCTGGGGATATATAGGGGAAATACATACATTACTGTATATGAATGACACATACAGTACACAGCGATTTCAATTAAGATTCAAGGTTGCCCCGAGCTAAGCGGAAAAGTCGTATATAACAGTATAGTGCATGCTCTCACTGCTTTGTTTATTTAGGTAAATACCATGTTATTATCCAACTAACTTGCATTGTGCCCCAATGGCAATGCACTCTACTTTATTATTTCAATGTCTCATACGGTCAGTACCAGTCGATTTTTCTTGTCAAGGGTTGAGTGCTGCCGCTCACAAATTCGTTAGCTTTATATTGAAGGTACAGGTGGCTTAGGTTTGAAGTTATTGTTAGTCAGGGGTTTATCAGGATTTTCTCTTGGGTCCGTTTTTGCAGAGAAGATTGAGTTTATCTGAACAGCTGGGGTGGCTGCATCCCCCCCCCGGGCGGCTGACACTTGTACTCAATAAATGTAGTTGGAGCGGAATGTGTTAAAGCAGTAGCACTGATGGACACTATAAACTGGTTAAAAATGGCGAATGCGTAGTATTTCTTGTGTTGTCAGTTGAATTCCAGCTATTTTTTCTTAATTGTCGGGTTTCCAACTGAAAACTAAATTCCACACGTCACGAAATTAACTCAAACAACTTCATTTTTACTGCACTGAAATTTTGGTGAGAAGATTGAGTTTCAAAACTCAATTCAAGATTGAGTTTTTGGGGCCATTTAACGGTCCTAAAAAATCCCTGAAAAAAAACCCTGTTAGTATTATGACCCCACTAAAATGAGGTATACCCAGCAAATAAAACTTTCGGCGTTTCCCCCTACAAATACATGTACGCCCGGGAAGAGATTATTTCGCTGGCCTCAAAGTGACAAAACATAACAAACACTAACCCTACTACTCCAAACATCAACTCTAACCATAACCCTTACCATAACGTATCCTAACCTAACCTAACCTAGCCTGCGAACAGGCTCTCAAGCTGAATTCAGAGCCTGCATCGATGACTAACGAATTTGAATATCTGCCCCGTAACGTTCGTTTTTCCAATTATGGAATGTCTATCCTTATATGGTGTTGTTTACAACTTTCGTACAAACTAAATTTAGACAATGCAAACTAAATTTAGACCGTACAGTTTATACTGTTTTTCGAAATATAAGATATTGAAGCAAAAGTTTAAATGTTTTAAATACTGTTTTCTCAAAACAGAACATTTCGTGCTTTGAGATAAAATGGCCAAGACCAATTTGAGCAGTTAATGTGTTTTTGTGCATCACCATAGTGCTAGTAGTTGACATATAGAGCTCAGCGGAAGTAATATAAATTATAGCATCTGACCACTGAGAATTTCGCGTCACGATTTGAGACGCAGATATTCAAATTCATTAGTCATCGATGCAGGCTCTCAATTCAGCTTGAGAGCCTGTTCGCAGGCTATAACCTAACCCTACTCCAAATTTGTTTCTAAACCAATCTTGAAGAAAAACGTTTTGACGAAATGTCATTCTGAGGTCAGTGAAATAGTTGATGCCGCACGGGGGCCGCCGGCAACCTCGTTCCCGGGCTCTTCCCTCTTTTTGAGGGGCCGTCGGTTGGTCCGTACCACTGATCTGAATCAGTGGGAAATAAAATATATTGGGGCTCATTTGGGCTCAAAATCGTATCAGATCGAGAGAAGTGAGATGAATCCACTGGTATACGGCCGAAAAAGAGAAAACTGACGATACCAAAGTTATCAAGGATCAAACGTACTGCATTTATTATAATTAGTTTAATATAACGCGCCGTGGCTATTCGTGGCTGGAGCAGTACGCCGAGTTCGATTTGCTATTCTTACTGCCTGCAGTCGTAATATTGAGATAAACCTGACCCCAACCCCAACCCCTTCTCTAACCCTAACCCTAACACTAACCAATAAAGGTCTAATAAACTATTTGAGAGTTAAAAAAGTGTGGGGGGGGGGGAAATTAAAAATATTTTAAGAAAAATTTCTAAGTCAACAGAAAACCGACGGATAAAACTAAACCCGGACCCGACCTCGTTTCACTTCGCACGCGCACAACGCCTTTGCCCAGCCTAGACCTAGGCCTTCTAGTCTTATTTATATATTTTTCATACTCAGCGCTTTTTCACATGAAAAGACTGGGACTAGGTGATTTGGGGGCGGGGCGGAGGAAGCAAGCCTAGGAGGCCTGGTGGATTTCCCAACAACAAGGCCAAAACTGCCCTGAAACTGCCCTGGTTGCGAAATGCCCAATTATTGCGTTCTCAAACAGAATTATTTGCAACTAACAGCGAATTTAAACCGATACAGGTAAAATAAACTCATTTATAGTATAAACTTACTATTTTTATTTGTATACACGTCTAGAAAATCGGGGTTTTATCATAAAGTTCGAAGCAACACTATTATTTAATATGTTGACAAGGTGTACCGAAAGATCAAAATGAGTGAAAATATGTACCAAAAGTAGAATCTTTCATGAAATTTTGTCTTATACACAACTACATTAATATATATTTTCTCAATTTTGGCAAGAAGCAGTCTTGTGTTTGTAAAATATACAAACACGTATACAATTATAATTTATTAAATAAAACGGATACATATATCATTAACCGGACAGTACTGTATATAAAAACGTACATTGTTTACAAATGGCATATCCGTCATATTTGAACAATAATTTCAAAATCCTCATTCCCAATTCGCAAATATAGTTATTCAAAGCGAAACAGTAGATTAAATGATTGTCTTGCGAACAAAAGAATTATTACTTTGTGCTTTCGCTTCACCTTGTCAACATAATAATAGTGTTGCTTCAAACTTTATGATAAAAACCCCGATTTTCTAGACGTGTATAGAAATAAAAATAGTAAGTTTATACTATAAATGAGTTTATTTTACCTGTATCGGTTTAAATTCGCTGTTATGTTGCAAATAATTCTGTTTGAAAACGCAGTAATTGGGAATTTCGCAATCAGGGCAGTTTCAGGACAGTTTTGGCCTTGTTGTTGGGAAATCCACTAGGCCTTCCATTTTTCACTTGCGTCAGGCTTGTGTTACAGAATAAAGATCAGTACCAGAAGGGCCACTCAGCGGTGCAACGTGTCGCCATTTTTCTATGCAAAAATATGCAGTTGACTGGCCAGAAGGCGGGGCCTTCAGCCAATACAGCGCGTTTATTGGCCAGAAAATGTAATCGACTGGCTAGGAAGATGGCGGCCAGGGTCCCCCTTCTGTGTGCCTTATTCTGTGCTTGTGTCCTTCCTCCGCCCCGCCCCCAAATCATCTAGTTCAAAAAGTTAAGTTCATTTTCCAATTCCTTCAATGGAGGACTCGGAGTTACTACATACCAATATCTTTAATCTGCTCTTTTGTATCATTGCGAATGCCATCCTTCCAATTAGGCCACACTTTTTCAAAGTAATTTTTCTCCCATTCTAGAGCAATTGTATGTTGTATGAGAATCATATAAAAGGTAGTCATGTAATAAAGGAGAGAAAATCTGAGAAGATAGCCCGTGTATTTTAACAGGCGGTCTGCAATGACAAGATGTCACGTGATCCGCTAAGACGAGGATACTGTGTGTTGTTCAAAAAAAAATTGAAAATTTTGGTTTTAATAAAAATTGGGTATGTTACTCGTCACGTAAAGGTTTAATGCATATACAGTGCAAGTTTACAAAATCTTCTTTAAACAATGAACACTAAAATCTCATGGCCTTGAAATAGGAAAGAATCCAACAATGTGGCTATTTTCTTTATTCTTCACTGCAAGCTCTTAACTTTTACTTCAAACTTCACCTGCGCATCGTATTGTCTTTTACTTAAACCATATTACCATAATTGCTATTTAAAGAGGATTGGGAACCTGGACTCGTAGTGCAAGTTTCCTAACTATACATCGCACGTGCAAAATTTGAAGGCATGCAGACAAGCTTCTCGGCTATACCAATGTTGTAAAATTTCATGCTTCACTACCATATTGGCCGGGGAGAGGAAGACGGCAACAAAACTTTATTATTACAAGCATTGTTGGGTGACAAAAATTCCGTATTGGCTGTGATCGAAACGTATACAGTTGGTAAGCCCAAATGCCAAGGAAGGGTGTCATGTCGCTAGGTAAAATAAAATATCAATTAAGTTACATGCAGCAGTGTTGCAAAATCATTGAAATTTCAGACAATTAAGCCAAGCCAAAGAAGACAAATCTCAAGGTACAAAGTGGTACAGTACTACTATAACAAATAATTTCAAATATCAAGAACCAACAAGAGAAATTGAGATACGCGAATTCCTAGGATTGGTTATAGGAGCAACCAACGACCATTCTTCGAATCAACAGTAAATTTAGTTCGACCTGCAAGAATTTGTTAATTTTAGCAATTTTATGTATATTCCTTTTCCATGTTTATCTGTTCATGTGCTTATATGTTTATGTTAAGTTTTAGAAACGTACATACCGTTAGTTTTTACTGTTGGGAAACCATAAATATGGGTTAATCCATTCGCATCGTAGTTAGGAAACTTTTTGATAGTTAGATTAAACTCGGTGATATAACAGTCTGTTAGAAAATGTGGTCTATCAGTTGGATCAGCAACGTCTCCAGGAAATCTCATGGCTCCAGCTACAAAATTAATAGAATGTAAAAGAGAATTTATTACTTTTTCGAGCTTAAATTTGTTCGTACATTTCGATTTCTGATTCTCATAAAAAATTGTGCATGCTATTCAAATAAGCCCGCCAGTTTACTCGGTATAGGTGAACAGCAATGTATCGATCAGAAATTTATTCATACAACTAAACCAACGATTCAATAATTGCAAACTTACTTCAAAGTCGAAAGGTATGGTACAATGAAACTTTACAATGCGAGTATATTTGTAAAATTATGTGCAAGAATTTCTGTTCAGAATTTCCGGTGCAGGATTGTCTGATCCTGCGCGGCTGTTGACCAATCAAAAAGCCTAAAAGCGTTTAACTAGAAATAGTATTTCGAAAGTTATTAAGCACAAAAGATGAATTGCGTTTATTTTGATACACCCCGTATACCTATATATATATATATATATATATATATATATATATATATATATATATATATATATATATATATATATATATATATATATATATATATATATATATATATATATATATATATATATATATATATATATATATATACAGGGTGTATCATAAAAAACGGAGTCCTCGCTTCAAATATAAATTTCGAAACGAATATTAGAGTAAAACGTTCAGGCTTACATTTGTTTTAAAGCATAGACATTCAGTTTTCCAACGATGGGTTGTTTCGTAAATTTAATCCAGTAGTTCGTGAATAATAGTATTTTAAGTGATTGCGATTGGAGAGTCAAAAATTTGAGATGCAATAACAAATCGGTACTTGATGAAAATAACTTATTTTGCCAACAAAACGTGCAAATTGAGGCATTTTGGCAACAGCTTGTAAAAACTAAGTAATAAAGGCTTCCAATACACTATTTTAAATTCACTTGCTGACTTCAAATGCGTTTATATTCCCAGCTAAAGCGTGTTTTGGCTTGCCGTCAACTTGCTAATTTATGTTTACATTGCGCCCAATTCGATGGCGTTAGTTCGGACGATGCATGGACATAAGATTGTTTTGATGATTTCTGGAAATAATTTAGGATTTTGAAATAAATAAAACAACCTAATCTCTTTTAGAATGTTTTTAACAAGTTTTTACTAGTTTTTCTGATGTGACAACAAGAACATTAAAGTTTGAACAAGAAAATTCAAACATTGTAACCGACTATGGAATATCATAGTAAATTTGTATAATTAAGCGGCATCTAAAAATTATAGGTTTTACTAAATTTTCTCCTGTGCAGTTATTACTTGCACTAAAGACACGGATGACTATTTGTCCGAAAGATAAATGAGCAGGCTTTAAAATAAGCCTAAAACCGTTTTATTAAATATAGTAGGCCGATAGTTATTAAGTACAAAAGATGGACTCCGTTTTTTATGATACACCCTGTATATATATATATATATATATATATATATATATATATATATATATATATATATATATATATATATATATATATATATATATATATACAGATTGTATCAAAATAAACGCAATTCATCTTTTGTGCTTAATAACTTTCGAAATACTATTTCTAGTTAAACGCTTTTAGGCTTACTTCAAAGCCTGTTCTTTTTTCTTTCAAACAAACTATTATCCTTGTCTCCAATGCTAGTGATAATTGCACAGGAAAAGATTTAGTAAAACCTATCATTTTTAGTTGCTGTTTAATTATGCAAGTTTACTATGTTATTGTTTAGTCGGTTTAAATGTTAGAATTTTCTTCTTTAAACTTTAATGTTCTCGTCATTACATCTGGAAAACCACGTAAGAACAAATTAAAAGTATTTTAAAAGAGACCAGGTTGTTTGAAAATCCTAAACGAATGCTAAAAATCGTCAAAATATTCTCGTGTCTGAGCCAGAGTGTCATCGAATTGCGATGTAATGTAAACAGAAATTATAGCAAGTTGATGTCAGTCAGCTTAGATGGTCCAAGCCAAAATTATATCGCATTTGAAGTTTCAAACTGAGTTAAAAATAGTGGAAGAAAAGCCGTAATTATACTTATTGTTACAATCCATTTAATAAAATGCAACATTTTTTGTTTTAATGAAAAAATCAGTTATTTTCATGAGAACGATTTGTTATTCCATCTCAATTTTTTTAATCTCCAATCGCAATAACGTAAAGTATTATTACCCGCGAACCAATGAGTCAAATTTAAGAAACAACCCACCGTTAGAAAGCTGAATGGCTACGTTTTAAAATGAATGTAAGCTTTAACGTTTTCGTCTATTATTTGTTTAGCAATTTACATTTCAGTCGAGGATTGCGCTTTTTTTATACATATATATATATATATATATATATATATATATATATATATATATATATATATATATATATATATATATATACATATAGAGCGTCTATCTAGTGATCGAAGGTCGCGCGGGTTCAATACACAGCCGCGGCAGCGCGCTTTGGTTAGGGTTAGGTTATAATTAATATATGGGTTTATTTGAAGCATATTACAAACATAAAATCCCCTCGTTCAGTAAGGAAGAATGGGAACTCACGCAAGCTATTAAGAGACTTTATCCTAAAAGGCCCATCACATTATGTCTAAGCTGGAAGAGCGGACTCGTAAATTGAAAGATACGTTTGAGATGTCACGTCTGAGAAAGTATTCACGAGATGGGCTGAGAACTGCAAGGCTATAACAGCGAATAGCTCAACCTTAACTTCAGAGCCAATAAATAGACCGCATGGATACCAGCCAGTCATCCTTACAGATAAGAATATAGAACAATCTTTCACATCTCATAACATGGCGTCATGACGGAAGGAGCTATTATTCAAGGCTCTTCACCTGCCATGCGAAGAAACTCTCAATCGGCTAATTTAGCCGAGGCTTTATCAACAATTGTTGATACAAACTCTCAAATACAAACAGACTTTAATAATAATTGTGATTCTGACGAAAATTTGACCGGATTTATTGATGATTTGGGAAGGCGTCTGCAAAGTACATCGAGCGAGATTGTCGTACGACAGCTAATCGCACGAGATACCGATGGTTTAGCTGGTTTAAGGGATAGAGTATTGCAACTGGTCCGTTCTAAGTGGAGTTGTTGTCCAAAAGGCGAACTTCAGAGGAGAATTACAAGAACTAGGGGAACGTCGGCGTCAGAGAAGCTCGCACAAGATATTGTATTGCTTGTGAAATTTTACGAGAGCGGCGAAGGAAGTCAAGCGCTAAAGGACATATTTCGCAAGGTCAGGAATACGGATTGTAGTTACGCTCTCGGAGATAACGAACGCTTTGGATCAACCTAATCTCAAGAAACTACTCGAAATTGTCGAAGATTTAGAAGCAAAATTTGTTGAAACAAATATTCAACATAAAACAGATATTGACAAATTGAAAGACGAACTTAATCATATGCAATTACATTTAGCCGAAAAAGACTCAAAAATATACTCGCTAGAAAAGGAGGTGTCGACGTTACGAGCTAATTGCCGTGCTTCAAAAGAATCTCTAAATTCGAAATGCGAAAGCATCTGCGTCGAGATGGAAAATATTTCTAAAATGACAGAACAGAGAAAGTCAAAGGAAAGTATTAAAATATTAACGAAAAAAAATTTGAATAATTCTGTAGAGTTTGGCAATACTGAACTTGCACACTCAGCCACAATCCTTCGCTGCTGTAGCGAGTGGCAGTAATGAGGACAATGAGCAAGTTATGGCTCTCCAAAGATAAATGGGAAAAACGGTCAGTGAAATCTGACAGAGATCCATCCAGAGAACCGCCTTCATAAACATTGCATGTTGGAACTGCGGAGGAATCAAATCGAACTTCGTTTATATGCAAAAGCTACTTGAAAGTGTTGATGTTTTAGCCATCTCAGAACATTGGTTATACGCCGATGAGCTTACTATATTAGACAATTTACATAACGATTTTTTGTATTATGCAAAGACAAGCGAACAAAATAATATGAACACAAGATGGAAGCGAGGTCAGGGGGGCGTCGCGATTGTTTGGAAAAAACATCTCAGGGCACAACGATTATTACTCGGAAATGATAGGATCGTAGCAATTAAATTTCGAATGAATAATCAGAATTATGTTTTTTGTAGTATCTATTTTCCATCAACGAACAGTAACTTGGCTGATTTTATCGACACTCTAACTTGCCTTAATGCAGTGTGTACTCAATTAAGTTACAGAGAAGAGCAAATCATTATTGCAGGCGATTTTAACGTACATGTATCGGATCCACGTTCAGGTCAACGTGAAAGTAATAGAGGAAAACTACTCCTTGAAATGTTTGCTGAATTTGACATGTTTCCAGTTAACGTGGATATGCCCTGTATGGGTCCGCTATTCACGTATTACTCAAGTTGTGGTAACAGTGTTGTTGATTACATTTTTGCGAGTAAGAACATCGAAAGAATTGTAAAGTGTGTTAAAGTTGGCGACGAACATCCGTGCAATTTATCTTATCATCTGCCGTTGATTGCTGGCATTGAAATTTCTGCTGGTATAAACTGCCATGAATCATCTAATAATTTAGAAAACGAGTATGAACGAATTGCGTGGAGAAAATGTGCTTCGGAACAAGTACTAGAATATCAAAGGAGATTAAATGATACAATCATAACAATGGATGATACCTTATACACCAGTGATGACGTTGAGAACTATTATCGTTTGATCTGTCGCAGCATAAAAAGCAGCGACAAATGTCTACCTCGTGCGAAGTATAAGAAGTCCATCAAGCCCTACTGGAATAATGAACTCAAGCGATTAAAGACAGCTTGCATGGAGCTTCATAAGAAATGGACCTCAGAAGGACGTCCAAGAGGAGAACAGTATGAAAGTTTTCGGTTATACAAAGATGCAAAGCGTCTGTTCAGGAAGGAACAACGTAAAATGGTACGAAAAACAGAGGAGAATGATTTCAAAGAGCTTAGTGAGGCTTCCGAGATCGATCACATCAGGTTTTGGAAATATGTAAACCGACGTAGAAAGAAGAAAAGATCAACTAATGTGCTCACAACGAATGATGGAAGAACTATCTCAAACCCCGAAGAAATAGCAGATGTGTGGGCTAATTACTATGAAAAACTTTTAACTCCTGAGGAAAATACAAATTTTGATGATGACTTCAGGGAGTATATCGATATTGAGGTTAGTGACATAACAAAAAACTCCTTAGCTGAATTTGATGATATCTTTCAGGATCCCATAACTTTAAAAGAGATCGAGGATGTGCTAACAGAATTACCAAATAATAAAGCTCCCGGTGATGATGGCATAACGTATGAACATATTAAGTACTCTGGGGACATTCTGGCTGCCAAGCTGTTAATACTTTATAATAAGATCATTGAATTGGAGTACATCCCAAGACAATTTAAGTTAGGAATCAAAATTCCAATTCCAAAGGGAGGGAAGAGCTGTGCATCAAAATTCGACGATCACAGAGGAATTACTCTTCTTTGTACTTTTAACAAAATTTTCGAACGTTTAGTACTCAACAGGCTTCAAAATAAAATAAGATGTCGACCCCACCCGCTTCAAGGGGCCTACCAAGCTGAGCGTGACGCCTTGACGACTTCATTTGTTATTGACGAGTCAACTAAGCATTGTTGCGAGGAAAACGATAAAGTATTTGCCTGCTATGTTGATGTCTCAAAGGCATTTGATAAAGTATGGATAAATGGTATGTTGTTTAAATTATATCACAACGTAAATATTAGAGGAAAGTGCTGGAGGCTAATAAAAGGTTGGTACTCAGACATGGAGGAATATGTCTTTTATAATGGTAAACGTTCCAGACAGTATAATATCTTACAGGGGGTTCGACAAGGTGGGGTATTATCGCCATGGCTATTTCTTCTCTTCATTGATGACATGATAAGCGAGCTGGAAAAGCTATCCACTGGTATAGTTATTCAAAATTTGTTTGTTGGATCACCAATGTTTGCTGACGATCTTACGCTAATGTCAAGATTAAAACGAGGTCTTGATAACATGCTTGTACAAGTTCATAACTATAGCCTAAAATGGAGACTTACTTTTAATGAGAAAAAAACTGTTGTGCTGACCTTTGGCGAAAAACGAGATAACATATCGGCAGTTACGAACAGAAGGTGGCTTATAGGAGGTAAAGAAATCATGGAGAAAAGTATCTGGCATAATCTTGGAAAAGATTGGCACACCGACGTTTCCAGCCTTATTCCAATACTAGAGGCTGCGAAGAAAGGTCAGGCTATCGGCATTGGTTTAGCAAATCTGGGATGTAGATTTAACGGGATGAATCCATTGGTGGCGACTAAGCTGTGGGCACGGATTGCTCTGCCGAAAATGTTGTACGGTGCTGAGTTGTGGACACTTAATCGAGAAAAACTATCAAAATTGGAAAAGGTACAGAATATATTTTTAAGAGTATGTCTGGGTTTACTTAGTGGTACCTCGGGTTCAGCTGCACGTGGACTTCTTGGTCTCTGGACGGTCGGAGCAGAAATAGACAAACGAAAGCTTCTGTTTCTCAGACGACTAATATGTGCAAGTGAGGACTGTGTACATCGCAGGGTATTCATGATACGACTTAATAGATGGAGATGGAATCCGAACAAAATCACTGGTTTTGTACCAGATTTAGTTAGAATCTTACAGAAGTATTGCTTGTGGGAGTATATGGACAATTTTCTGCAGTCTGGAAATTTTCCCAGCAAATCTGAATGGAAGAAAACAGTATTTGAGAATATTAATCATGCGGAGATTGAGTTTTGGAAGATCAAAACGCAACGTTATAAACAATTAGGATTATACAGCCAAGTCGTAAAAGAACCAATGCGTAACATGTGGCTGCAGTTTGCTCTCGAAAGCAGCGAGATGGCCAACCAAGTGGCAATTATTGTTAAAGTTCTTTGTGGGTCATTCTATGTGAATGGTGTGCGATTTGCTGGAGAAAAAACACAATTTCATTGTATGTCTTGTGGTAACTACTACACAAATCCTGTAAAACATGCTATGTTGCATTGTTGTGAAACACAATTAGCAAGAACAAAATTATGGGAACGTATCACAGATTTCTTTCCAGTGGAATTCGTAGCAAACATTAATTCGTTAGATGAGGACAATTTGATGCAGACGATCTTTGGAAACATGCAATTCATGGAGGGACATAATAATAACCAAGTACAAAATTTTTATATTATAGTTGCTGAGTCTATTTCAAAGATAATAACAATATCCAGTTACATTGACATTTATTTGGATTCAGAAACTATTTACTAGTTTGTGTGTTGTTTGTCTTTTTTAAACTAATTTTAATTAATTATTTATAATTGTAAATATTCGTATCTTCAAATATGGAGGCATTAAAGAATTATACTAAGTCCAGAGAACATTAAAATTTAAATGCAGTTTATCAGTTAATATTTTTAAAGTGACCCTGTGACGAAAAATCATCTCTCCAATTTACATCTTAGTTAAACATTACCTCGAAATAAGCTAGCACTGCGTTCTTGGTTTTTCAATATCTTGTTTCGTTCTCAAGATATTCAGCTAAAAAAAAACATGCAAATTAGGTCCAAAGTGACGTCATTTACTCCAGAATATTAAATTTAAATCCGATTTAAAAAACGATGAGAATATCTTTATTCGTGACAGGAACAATTCATTCAAACTTTGTGCTATTATAACGAAGAGTGTTTCACATCTCAAACTTTGTATCACGGCGTTTTTCATGAAAACCATAAAGCAACAAATGCGTTTTGCTTGTAGAGCAAAAACGATTATTTCTTTACTGTTAAACAAGGTTTAAACTAAAGCATAGGGCGGAATACTCGTACATGCTCGCAAAAGTTAAGTTTCGGTCATTTGAATGGTCGTATTTTTCACAAATGGGGCGGAAAACACAATTAACATTTGCTTTTAGTGAAGTAGTTATCTGATTTAATATTCTGGAGTGAATGACGTCACTTTTGACCAAATTTACGTGTTTTAAAAAGCTGAATACCTTGAGAACGAAACAAGATAAACCAAGAATGCAGTGCTAGCTTATTTCGAGGTAATGTTTAACTAAGATGTAAATTGGAGAGATGGTTTTTTCGTCACAGGGGCATAATTAAGTTACGTAAATATCTTCAGTTTAGAAAATCATACATAGTAGCATTTAGCCTTTGACAATTTTTAAATCCATATTATTAATTGATTAGTTAGAATTTCATGTTAGTATAATATAGCTTATAACTTTTTGTACTGATGTTAATCTGGGTCGTCCCTCGTCGCTTCAGTTGGGAATAGAGATCAGTGGAAAAACAATGAGAGCGCGGGGCTTAATGAGAATGCATATTAATTGGCTCCGAAAAGCCCCGTTGGGAAGAGTTCAATAAATTATTGTTTTGTATTAGTACGTTTCTAATTGGAATTTCCTAATTGGAGTGGACGTTCGTTTATTACGTTTGCAAATTGAAATTTTTAACGCAAGACATCCTGACATACGTGAGAAAAACAAAACTTGTCTTGACTTCGACGAAATATATAAAAACATTTTACCAGACAGACAGACAGACAGACAGACAGACAGACAGACAGACAGACAGACAGACAGACAGACAGACAGACAGACAGACAGACAGACAGACAGGACTGCAGGTTCCAAGCTTTATAGTTTTGCATTTTCGATATCCTGGGTACATGTACATATACCAATACTATAGTATGAATGCATATCCCTACGTTTTGGTGCAAACAAAATTAGTATATGACTGTCAGCAAATCGATTTCAATTATATGCTTAGAGTTATCCCCATCTTCAATCAACCCAGTTATTTTGTAATTGCTGATTCTTTGCCCCCACCCCACTCTCACAGATCCCTTTATAAAATATTTTCTTAATACTCATAGACTTTGTCAGTGTATGCTGTAATTGTCAGATAAAACTCTCAACAACCTAGATTGTGTACAATTGTGGAATAAAAAGATTGAAAAATAATTATTTGTGTATACTCATAGAAAATCCAAAGGAATTAATGAGAGATCATATACGAAATCTAATGGAATCAAGAGCATTTGAGCTGGATTATCCTTGTCTATTTGATTCAAGCAATATTAAGTGCCTTTTTGGAATACTAGACGCATCTTGCTGCGGACATATTACATCTGAGCAGTTTAAATCAGGTATGTATTATTTATATACCTAGTATATTAAGTTTAATATATAATTAATTACAAGTTTTTAGTGTATTACCCGCTATTATATATTAATGATCTTAAATCATGATTAGAATATGCAAAAAGTTAGTCAAAGAAAATATATATATTATTATATTTACACAAAAGATAAAATATGCTAGTACAAAAATTATTTATTGGACAGTTTTATCGTGGTTATATTTAACAAATAGATAAGATTTTGCCATTGTCTGTTCAGTTATAGATACACAGTATGACGTCATAATGGGGGAAGAACAAAAAAGTGGCTCACGAGCCGCCTATAACTAAACAGACAACGGCAAAATCTTATCTATTTGTTTTATATAATAAAAACCCCGAATTAAACAGGTAAATAAATGTATAAAACGCACAAGTCGTAACAAACATGCAGCAGACTTGTAACAATGCAGTTCCAACAACTTGTCAACAGGATCAGTTCGTCGCACTGCTTGTTCCCAGCTTGTTGACAAGTTGTCAACGGCTTGTTGACAATTAACTTGCTGCAAGGTTGTCGAGCTCAACAGACTTGTTACAAGTTGTCGTCCTGCTCTCCACCAATGAAAGCGTGACACAATACATGCATGCAGGACATAACACCAATATTATATATTAGACCATATGATTAGACGTACTCTCCATCGACAGGTCATGCCACCACGTTATAACGTCATATATACTGTGTTTCTATAATAACATCTATTTGTTATACAGTATTTACGTCAGAGGGCAAGTATAATCTCTGACAAATGACCTTTGTTTGTAGCATCGAAATTCTTTGTTTATTTTTTCCCTCAGTGGCCATTCCATTTAATTGATATATTAAGCGAATGTAATAGAGTATTAGGTTTGGAACCTCAATGCAAGTACATTACCGTCGATTCTTCACATTTAGTGGATGGGGAAGCAGCTCCACTTGTTACAAATCCATGTGAATTTGATCAGGCTGAACTGTAGTGTTAAAATATCAGTTATATCCAAAGAAAATGATCATAGTGTCTACTTGATCACTTTGATTCTACTATTGATAGCTTATATTGCTCTATAAACATGAAGCAGCTTCGCTATGCATATTTGAGCCTTCACAAGGTATAGGGCGCGATTTATACAGTCAGAATTTTCCATTTCAATGATGGATTCTTGCACTTCACTTGGTGGAATTAATTTTAGAATGTTAGGGTTTGTAATCCAAGTGAGAATATATACATTTTAAGACCTAACCAGGAACGACTGCGAAAAATGCAGCACAAGGTCCTCTGGTAGGAATTGAACCTACGGCCCTGCGATTCCGGTGCAGCGCTCTAACCAACTGAGCTACAGAGGCCAGCTGTTAAGCTGTAACCGTAAGTTCATGTATATATAGGTAATCGGGTGTGCGGGTTGTGATAAGGTGGACTTCAATGATGGATTCTAGCACTTGGATTACAAACCCTAACATTCTAGAATTTTCCATTTCATTTTTCATAACCAATCAGATGAGTTTGATATATCCGATTAACCAATTACAGTAGATGAGTTTGATATATCCGATTAACCAATCAGATGCGTTTGATATATCCGATTAACCAATCAGATGCGTTTGATATATCCGATTAACCAATCAGATGCGTACTAAGCCAGTGAGAGGTAGCGTTAGTGAAAGTCAAATCTGAACCTCTCTATTAATTTTTGAACCATATTATTGTTAATATATTATTTATTCTCACTGGGAGATTTCTCTCACAATACCATATACTTTGAATATTTATTAAAAAAGCCGATTGCCGAACCGATTGTTAAGAGCCGATATTTACCGACCATCGACCGATTAATCGGCAAAACCGATGGTTGCTTATTATTACTAAAACTACTGATGCACGTGACTTAAAGGAACGCGACGACAAATTTATTTTTCCCGTAAAAACATTTCTCAGCATTGTGAAATCAACATCGTGTTACTGGTGAGATCTGATTGGTCCACGGAGTCCCGGACCACGATAAAAAATTGCAAACTTGCGAATTGCGAAAAGCCGAAAACACGGTCAAAAAGCGCGGGAAATAAAAAACATAGTGTTTCCACTTTCGATCAGTGTTTCCATGCCAAAGATGTGAAAATTCAATATTTTTGAGTAACACCGCTGGCCATTCCGATGGTGAAAGACAATCGGCCCATGGTGAAAGACAACCGACCGATGGCCGATTGTGAAAAAACAAGCCGATTAATCGGGTTTGCCGATGTTTTGTCGATGATCGGCTCACCTCTAGATCAGTTAGTCATCCATATTCACCACGTGATTGTCAGACAGTATAAAAGTAGCACAGAATCGGCATCTTTTGAGCATTTGCGGATTTGCCACCGAAAAGGAAGAACGGCGCTGAAATTTTTTGGGAACCACCCACCTCCCCTGCCTCCTCCGCAGGCCCTCATTTGCGTCATGGGAAGGTCACGATCTGGCGAGGGCCTGCGGAATCTTGTAAAAAAAATGGCGCCGGCGTCACGTCAGCAAGTAAATTTCTACATAATCTTGAATATATAAAACAGATATAAAAAAGCGGTGTGAAACTTGTAAATTAAACTGGCGACTCTTAGGACGTGGAAGGAAGCATTTTTTAACGATAAGGTTTGTTGTCCACACCAACGTTGCACGAATAAAACTGCTTTCTTTAACAAAGCAGGTTCAAAACAACATTTATTCATTTTACAAGATTCCGCAGGCCCTCTCGAAATCGTGACCTTCCCATGACACAACGAGGGCCTGTGGAGGAGGCAGCCACCTCCCCTCGGCTGCGACACTTCCGGACCTAGCTTCGCCGCACTCTACCTTTGGCTGAAAATTATTTATCCCCAATCTGAATTCCCTCAGTCAAAGGTATTGTGCGGGGAAAGCGAGCAGTGAGAATATATTACGATATGCACAACATGGTTTTAAACTGCTTCGTCAAGGTTAAGAGGTAGCGCCTAATCCATCCTTTCTTCATTCAAAAAAACACTATAAGAAAATTACTATAATTACTAGAAGCAAAAATAATTATTAGAATATTTTCCAAGTTTATTGACACCACAACGCGTTGTCACTCCCTCGACATCCTCTCTTGAGAGACCTCATTTTTGACGTTCCAGGACTACAACAATGCTTTAATATGTCTTGCTTGTACCAATTTTGCTGGTCTCTTGTAAGCTATATGTCTAACTGTGTGTACGTAAATACATGAAATATACAAAATATACTGAGCACGTGCACTAGTAAATGTACTTGCATTGTAAGAATACTTGCTGTACTGTACTACCATTGAATTTCCACATTATTCTAACCGTTTCTCCATACTTTCTATTTTTAGCGGTAGAAGTTGTTGGCGCCAGCAACATCCAGGAAGATGACATACCCGAGTTAATAAATAATGAGGACATTTCTTTTGATATTTTCCTCACTCAAATGTGAGTAATGCTTTAATCTCTTATTTATATTATTGTTATTCAATGCATTACTCATGCTTGATTACATGCCTTTGATTACAGATAAGGTCACAGGGCCTTTCCTTGAGAATTCCTTAATGGAGGGCCATCCAGGAGGGGAGTCTTTTGTATTTTTGAGCCTTCGGGGCTTGATTTTCTACATTTTTGGAAATAACATTTGGATAAATTTCATCCACAAGAGTACTAAGACATAGGTTTGGTAACGATAATATTATCACACTTTTCTTAACTAAGCTGTTCTTCTCTTTTGGCAAATTGCTATAGACAGAAGAGACCTTCACTGGAAGGGCCAACATATAGTTTACTGGAGGGACCAACATGGGGTCTTTTCCCAAAGCCCCCCTCCTGGTGTATATGTTAAAAGGGCCTGTGCGGCCATGCAAGGGTTAATTTAAAGATAGATTGACTAATAGATTAATAGATAAGCCACACAGATGTACATATACACGAACTGAGTTGTATCATGAATCGATCTCGGGGCGTTCATGCAATAGCAAGCCGGTTAACTCGGTTAGCCGGTTAATTTTTTTCTCGATAGCTACGCCATCTTGAATCGTAGTGCATAGATTTAAGAAGCAGTTGATCCCTGGGGTAAATTGTTGAGAAAAACCTTGTTCAAGGCTCTTATACCTCTTGTGGAGATAGAAGCGCAGAATAAAGAGCATTGGAGCGAGGCTAGCTAGCAATAAGCCATAAAATGCATGAAACGTTAGCGTCCGTGTTTCCCTATAATTTAAATTAAGTCCGCAGGGTGTATAAGTTCTTCAGTCCTCGATTCTAACGTAAATTTCTAAAAGAATATTTTAAAAAGGAAATCTTAGGCCACACTGTGGACGTTTGACCGCGATTGCCGCGGTTAGTGAAAAATGGTATTATTTTATGTGACTCAGATTGGGGAATCAAAAATTGGAGATGCAACACCAAATCCATACTAACTTTATATTTTGTCAATAAAACGAAGGAATTGCAGCAATGGATAAAGTAACTAAGACACAACGGCATTCGGTCTACTACTTGTAGTCATTTACTAATTTTACACAGGGTGTCTATAAGAATGGGCGGTGAAACGCCAGTGAAGCAGCTGAAACATGTGTGATGCGCCTTGGGCCTGGCGTGCACAACAAGGGGTTCTCGAAGAAAACAAAAAATTTAAAATTTTCAACAGGCTTCATTAAAAATGTTGTAACTTGGCAGTTTTTGACGCGATGTCCGAGATACCTTTTTCTTGTGCTACACAAATCGTTAGCTACCGCTACAGTAGTGCCGAAAAAATGTTTCTGTAACATTAATCACCGAAATATTTCAACTTCAAAACTATAAACTTGCGTGTCAACGTCGTCGGTTCTTACGTAGATGGCAAATATTTGGATTTTTTTTCAGCGAGGAAACGGCCAAATGGTATTAAACTTTAGAGTTGTGATGCACATTATGTTAAAATTTATTATGCAAGATTTCGTCGTGTAGTTTTTGGACCCTTTTTTGCAATCATTTATAGAATTTAAGGCCTATTCAATTTTTTTACAACACAACTCAGCTGCTTTCGCAACTACGAAGTCTAAAAATACCTATGTAAAAACCTTGAAATCATATTTTTTGTTCACTTTATGTGTTTATCTGAAAGACAAGATATATGTTTTCCTTGATGTGTATATATTTAGACATTCTGTAAGTAATAATACAAGAAAATGTTATCTTAATACTTGGCAGCAACACTTGACCGCGTCGCTATGGCGGTTTCGAAATTTTCAACATGAAATTTTTCCACAAAAAATTGAGATGCTTGCTGTGGACCAAGAAGCTGGAAAAATTGCACAATGACGGCCTTAACTAATAGGATCCATTTGACCTGGGTACGGTAGCACAATTTTCGCTCGTACTCCACAACTCATAAACAACCCATAAACTAAAATGGCCTTTACAGAATTTAAAAGTGCTCACGAGTAAACAAAAAACGGAAGGCGGGAAAAATAAACTTATGAATATGCAAAACAAGAAACCATAAAGTAAACAAACCATATCATTTAATTACTTAGAATTGTTCAAATATATATTAATACATATTATATAGTACTATTAATATAACAAAAAGTATATATGCTTTAGAGTAAAAACATATTTTACCACAGCTATTAAAAAAATGCTGAAATGCAAAAATCACTAATTCATACTTCGTGGCAAACTTGAAATTGTGCTTTAATATAGTACGCGGACATGACGAGAAAACCGCTACAATGTTTTAGTACTTTCTTCGGTTTATTAAGTGTATCAGGATGATCTGGAAGAGATTCCAATGGTCTACCAATTAAAAAATGACCAGGAGTTAACGATCCCATCATCGTCGTTACTGTTAATAGAAGCAGCAATCGGTCTAGAGTTCAAGCAAGCTTCAATTTGGCATAGATACGTAGTTAGTTCTTCAAAGTTCAGTTTGGTTTCATCAACAATCCTCTTGAGATGATACTTGCATGCCTTGACACTGTTTTCCCACACTGAGCCATGATGAGGCCCTGGGGGAGGGCTGAATTTCCACTGTATGCCTTGTGTAGAGCAAAAATTGGCAATAGTCGCTTGTGTCTCTGCTAGTCTGCTTCCTTTAAGTAGTCATAAAAATCCTTGAGATCTTTATTTGCTCGAGTAAAACATGTTGCATTGTCACTCCAAATTTGACACGGTTTTCCTCGTCTTGCCCCGAATCGATGTAGTGCTGCGACGAATGCTTCAGCTGTTAAATCAGACACTAGTTCTATATGGCAGGATTTGGTTTGCAAGCAGACAAATATAGCAATGTACACCTTTTTGATAAATTGATCTTCGTTTGGATCCGGCTTTGATGAAAACAGGACCAGCATGATGAACAGAGACCATTTCGTTTGCGAATGATGGATTGACTCTTTCTTTTGGGAATTGACCCATTAGCTGTGTGGAAACATTTGGAGATGTACGCCAACAGATAACGCATTCACCAGTGCACTTTCGAACAATCCTTCTAGCACTGATAATATGATAGCACTGTTGAAGTGTTCCTAAGACCAGTTTAGGTCCTGCATGACACAATCGTTTGTGTTCATGTTCGACAAGCAAGGTGGTAAGTCGATGTTTTCCATGGAGAATTAAAGGGTGACGTGAGTCAAAATCCCGGTTGTGATTGTGAAAGGCGTCCACCAACTCTCGCCAAACCCTCAGAGTCGAGAAATGGATTTAGAGATTTTAGATGATGTTTCTTGGATAGTTGTTTTCCTTTCTTAAGTACAGCGATAACTTCAGAGAACATTTCAAACTGTACTTTCTTGAACCACCATGTTCCAGTTTTGTGTAATTCATAAAGCGTTTGTTGGAGTAAATAGGTATTTTTTGGTGACTACACGACGAATGAACACAATTACTCGCATTAAGCGAATGAAGCTCGAGTATCGATTGATGTCGATTACGGGCCTTGATATAATTTTCGTTGTGTTTACCGGCATTGAGACTTCCTTTTTATCCTTTAATTACTTTAAATCTTCTTCTCGGATGCCAGATGTCAAATCTTCTTCTCGGATGCCAGATGTCTTCTTTTCGATTCCCAGGTTGACTGATCCGATTTTAACCAATGCGGTCCTGACCACCATGAGTCATGATTGATAATATCTTTAGGGAGAATACCACAAGAACCGGCATCAGCAGGATTTTCATTTCCTTTGATATGTTTCCATCGTTCAGGAGGTAAACGTTCCTGGATTTCAGAGACAGAGGCTTTGAAGGTTTTCGGCCGTCGATTGGTTCCATATATCCAATACAATACAATGGTACTGTCCGTATAAGCATAGATATCTTTGGTAGGAATTTCAAGGACAGCTTTAAGATGTTTTACAAGACGAGCTAGAAGATGGGCACCACACAATTCAAGACGTGATAGTGATACCTTCTTTATAAGAGCGACCTTGGTTTTGGCTTCTACGAGAGCTATGTGTACACCACCGGTCGTTTCGACACTTCTTAAATTAAATAGACCATGGCAGAATACGCTCTTTCGCTTGCATCAGAGAACCCAATCAACTGTTTGTCAACAATTTGACAATTGATGGGAGCATAACGACGTGGGATTCTCAGTGAAGAAAGTTCAGATGGTCTTCCCTCGATTGAGGAAAGACCATCAGTCTTCCTTCGACTGAGGGAAGATCATGATCAACATAAAATTATTCTTTTACCGCCTTGGTAGCTCGAGAAAGTGCTGCTTTCTTTTCTTCTGCTAGTTGCAAAATGTATTTAGTGGCCAAAAATGGGGCACTAGTTATCCCAAAAGTGACTCTCGTCATTCTATATTCTTGCATCTCTTCATTTGGATTATCTGTCCAAAGAAATGGATGGAAATCCCATCATTTGGATCTAAGCCAACTGCTCGATACATCTTTGATCGAGATGTTGGTGATGAGAACATAGGGAAGTTTACGAAATCGAATAAGCACATCATTCAAGGGAGGATGGACAGTAGGACCCACAAGAAGATGGTCGTTTAAGGAAACACCACTTTGAGGTTTTCATTGATCCGTCAAACACTACTCGAACAGGAGTGGTTGTTGAAGCTTTGTGAACTGCATGGTGAGGCAAGTAAAATGAAGTTTCTGAAGGAGGTTTGTCAAGTTCGTGAACAGGAACCTTTTCAGCATGTCCGGACGTTAAGTATTCGTTAACTACAGCTGAGTAATCATCATAGAGTTTTATATTGTGGAGACGTCTTTCAAGAGACAGGAATCTCTTTAATCTCGCCAATAGGAGTAACATAAGACTTAAATGGCGGTCTAACAATGAAACGTCCATCTTTGTCACGCTTGTGATGAACAGTAAAATCTTCTACTACAAGTTTTTCCACTGGTGAAAATATTTGCTTTATTTCTGGAGCTTCTTTTCTAAAGTCCGAAATTTTTGAAGAACTTCTTCACACGAAAGTTGTGATGTTGCAACAAACGTTGTTGTGGCTTCTCTAGCAATTGTTGGTTCCCTGACTGGTTTTGATGAACTCATGGTGTTGCCAAAGAACACCCATCCAAACATTGTGTCTTGGGCAGCAGGAGTTCCCTTAGGTCCCAATGTCAAACCTGGTTTCAAGATCTCATTGTAAACATCTACACCTAGCAAGATGTCGAGGTTTGGATCTGCAAGTGACAGTGATTCCAAATGTGGCCAGTTTGCAATTGATATGGATTGCAGCGGAAGACTTTTCGTTAATGAGGGTACTACGATGGCATCCAATTTCTCTAATGAGGATGAATTATGAGCTGATTTCATTTTGACTTCGACATCTTTATTTGTGTGTTTGTACACTTTGTCTCTCCAATCCCATTGATGCAAATTGATTGCCTTAGTTTTGGGAGCTGGAGCTGATTTAGCCAGTCTCTCAGTAATGAAAGAGGCTGTTGAAGCAGGATCTAATAAAACTCTTGCGACTGCTTGGTGGCCCCGAGGTCCACATGTAATTACTTTGGCTGTCATCATTAAGGCTGTATTTGAAGCTAATGAGCTTTGGGTCGACAAATTAACCTGATTTTGACTTGATGCTGTGGCCCGTTAGGGAAGTGGGCTGAACTAGAGGAGGGTTGTCTTGTAGTAACTGGTAAACTTGGCGATGATACATTGAGTGGTGGTACATTGGGTGGTGGTACATTGGGTGGTGGTACATTGGGTGGTGGTACATTGGGTGGTGGTACGTTGGGTGGTGGCACGTTAGGTGGTGCTACGTTTGGTGGTGGTACATTGTGTGGTGGACCAGTGGTACATTGGGTGGTGGTACATTGGGTGATGCTACATTGGTTGAAATGGGTTGCCGATTTTCTACGTCAAGATATAGAAGGGTATCATGCTTCTTGCCACAACTTAGACAACTGTATTTGAAATGGACAGTGCTTGATGCCACCCTTTAAACAGTTGAAACACATACCCTGAACTAGCAAAAAGTTCCGTTTTTCTGGAACAGATTTCTGCTTAAATACTTGACAATAGGCAGTTCCATGTTTCAACTTGTTACATACACTTGCCACAGGTGTTGGTAACATGTGTTGCAACTTGTCATGGATTCTTACCTTTATTATCACCAAACTAGGGGGGGGGGGCTTTCTGTTGAAACGTTAGCTCAGTTGCTTCAGCTCTTAGGTCCAAGATCGAACTTTTCGTATAGTCAGGAACATCAGTTTCACTTTGAGTGAACTTTTGCCATTCAATCATGTCAAGCCATTGGGTCAAGCTTGCTTTCACAAAGTGCCATGATAAACTGTCAGAAATTCAGTTTCTTTAAAGCTTTGAGTGATCTGAGATGATGTTGAAAAGTATCATGTAGATTTCTCAATTCAGAAGAGGATCCATTTTTGAGGTACCGGTACCTTGTTCTTGCTTTGAGTAAGGTTCGTACATATGCACGATGAATGACTTCTGGTCCGTCGAAGCGGGCTTTCAGTGCTTCTATTACTTCAGGATATCCTTCGGCTGTTGCATCAATGCCTTCTATGGCATCCCTAGCCTTCTGAGTTGTAAGTGATTTAAGAAGATATTGCATTCTCAACTGGTCAGTGAGTTTAATAGATTTATGAATTGCAGCTTCGAACTGTTGCCAGTATGATTTCCAGTTGGTTGATTCGCCGTCAAAGGTTGGAATGTTTAACTCAGGAAGTCTAATGGTTTTCTATCGTTCAGAGCAGGAGCTGGAGAAGTGTTCAATAAGTTTATTGATTTCATCTCGGCGCTGTTGGTTACTAACTTCTACTTCAGCCTCATATCGTTTTCATTCTTGTTATATTAGTAGTCACTTGCTCACTAATGAGGGAAGCTATAATTTTTTGATTTGACTTTAATTTACTATACATCTCGGCACAGGTCTCCAATTTTTGCCACTGCACTCGATTTGTAAATTGTCAGGTTCACTGACTGAATCTTCAATCTCACTTATCAATTGATCTAACGATTTTTAAAATAAGTTCTGAAAATTCCGCTTCATGTTTATTTAGTCCGTCCTTAATGTCCAGCCCATAGATATAGGAGATCTAGATTGCTAACGCATGCCAAGCGCAGGCGGGTACAAGAGGGCAAAAAGACGATAGATTCTATTACGAAAATCAAGATTTTTGCATTTTCTGCCGTCGCATTGTTTTGAAACTTATTCGGTCAAGTTTGATGGTAAAGAGAAACTTGCCGCAAAGATTTTGAGCATATATATGATTGAATTGGATGAAAACTCGCAAAATTATCCAGCGATAAAAGTTCGTGTATAGTACTGATATAGTACTATATATGTAACTTGTACAGTTTTGCTTTAATTTTGCTCACTATTTGCATAGAAAGCAAATTATAACAGACCATAGATGATCGACCTTATCCAGTGCTCTCATCAGTTTACTTCTCTAACAAGCAAGGAAGGGGGGGGGGGGTACATAACAGTTCATTTTTCATAATTATGAGGCTGTCCTCAATTATGAGGCTGTCCAGCAGATGATGATGAAAGATGCAAGTATAAAACACCATTCACAAGACTAGATGTTAACATAGCACAGTATTTCTGGCAATAAAACGCTCCAACTGACCATTTCACACGAACTTTTATCGCTGGATAATTTTGCGAGTTTTCATCCAATTCAATCATATATATGCTCAAAATCTTCGCGGTACGTTTCTCTTTACCATAAAATTTGATCGAACAAGTTTCAAAACAATGCGACGGAAAAAAATGCAAAAATCTTGATTTTCGTAATAGAATCTATAGTCTTTTTGCCCTCTTGTACCGCCATCTTGGATTTATCATGTAGGCCCCGCCTGCGCTAGGTATGCGTTAGCAATCTAGATCTCCTATATCTATGTTTGCTTCCCAAGAGCAAAGAGCCTGGGAACGAGGTTGGACTTGCTTTAATTGTTTTCCTTCAGTGTTTATATGTATTGATCTAGCACAGTGTAAATAACATGAGTTCCATTATAGTAAATATGCAGAAAGAATTTGAAGGATAACAATTAAAGCAAGTCTTGCATTTTCGGTTCAGTTGTGAATCGAGATTTTCCGAAGCAGTGGCGTGCTGGGTACTATTTTTCTGGAGGGGCCAGTGGGCTGTCAGCCAATATGCGCCCTTATAATGTTACACTTGATAAACGAGGGCCGAAGGCACGAGCCGAGTGCCGCAGGTGCGAGGTTTGTCTAGGGGGGTCCGGAGGCATGCCCCCCAGGAAAATTTTTGAATTTAGAGTCTCTGAAATGCCATTTCCTGGACTTTGGGGGTAGATTTGACAGAAATCTGATGGTCAGGAAACGGCATTATAACGTGTCGAAATTTGCAATTTGGTTAGAATTTATGAGTAGTACTTAAATTATGCAATGCTAACTACTTCCAGCGATTAATCTAATCCCAATTCTGTTCTCTACT